CCTTGTCAGGAGGGTATTAGCATGCCCCACGTCTCTCCCCTCCTTTAGGCTCCAGCCCCAAGCAACACCCATAGCAAACACCATCCCCCCGCCACTATCCCTTCAGCTGCCTGGGTCACGGGTGGTCCCTCTGAGATGGGATGCACTCACACACAAAGAGAAATCGGCTGTACTTGAGGTGTAGCTCGTGGTCTGCCCTGCCTCTGCTGGCACCTTGCACAGGCAGCTTTCCCCATGGCACCAAGCGTCACCTCCACCCCCAGACCTTGGGCAGATGCAGGGTGCAGAGCCCGTTCCCTCCCCAAAGGGTGCTGCTGTGATGGCTTCAGGCTCCATTTGCCTCTCACCACCTCCCCAGCACTCTGCTGAGGTCCTTAAAAATATCACCCTGGCCAAACCTTCTCGCTGGTGGCATTTTTCCCGAGCCATTGCAAAGGAGGGGCTGTGGGCAGGTCCATGGGGTGCCCCACTGCTGGTGGTGCCCTTCCTCCCCAGCACATCCCCTACACCCAGACGATGCCTGGGCTGCCCCGTTGCAGTGGGTGCTGAGGCAAATCCATGTAGTTGTGTCCCAAGGAGAGGGTAAACCAAGGGCCAGGCTCTCCCAAGGGGAACAGGGGAATGAAACCAGGGTGATATCCAGGCTTCCCTCCAAGTTACAGCCCCAGGAGAGCCAGCTGGGAGCTTTAGCAAGCACGAGCTTCAAGGCTCGTGGTAGAAACAAGGTAGTTTCACCATTTTGTGGCAGTGTACAGCCCATGGCTGGCTGCCATCCTGGCCAGCCCTGGCACCTCCCGCACCCGCGCATCGTCAGAGCCAAGCCTTTGTTGGAGGGAACAAGGAGGAAGAGACAGATGGTCCCTCGCAGGAAGAGATTAGCCCAGCTTCGGGTAATTTATATCTTCCCTAAGGTGTTACTCTGCATCTCGTATTCTCTTCTTCCATTTACTCTGCTCCTTTCTCCCCGTTAACTCCCTTGCACAAAGCCCTTCGCATCCTCCGCCATGACGCGGGAGAGGAGGGTTGGCGTCTCTCCCATGCTTATGATGGGCTCCACGCTACCGAATTGCATCCCCGGACACTGAGCTGCGGCAGGACAGCTTCATTTGGGAGGGAATGAAGGGAATTCCCTTCCCGTGCCGCTCCCTGCCGCGCTGCTCTGCATGCGCACCCACACATGGGCAGCCAGCTCGGACATCCCGAAGGATCAACCTGCTGGGGGTGGAGCTGCAGGAACCAGGTTATAGGGATGCTCAGGGTTGTTCTTGAAACAGTCAGAGGCAGAGATCTGCTAGCAGCTCTAATAGAATCCAGGAGCGGCAATGAAGAGCTGACCACCCCGCTGAAACCCTCAGAGCTGGGACTCACCACAGCCAGGGAGAGGGATGTGCCGTACCCCGCAGTCAGCTCTGCCCTGCCGTGAGTGGATGAAAAAAGGGCTGAAGAAGCCACGTGCCCTCGGGAGGGTGTGCGATGCCCCAGCGGCCCGCCCGTATGGCAGCACCGCAGCAACAAGCCATGAATGTGGCCCATTTTAGCTCTCCAGGGTGTTTTTCTTGGTGCCACAACACTGTTTTGCATGCAGGATGAGGTGCTTTGCTACTGGACACAAGGTCATCCTGACCCCTGCCGAACACAGCCCCCCCAGCCCCTCTGTCTGTCTCCCCCCAGGACATTTAGCTAATGCCAGCACAGAGCTGATGAAGCTGGACCACGAAGAGGAGCCACAGCTATCAGAGCCCTACCTCTCCAAGCAGAAGAAGCTCATGGTAAGTGGATCAAAGCCACATACATCTCTGGTGGTGGGGGGGGACATGACCCATGGACCTGCTGTGGGCACCTGGTGCCTCATCTCCCTGCACAGTTGCAGGGACACCTGTCTGTCCGTCCATCCATCCATCCCCCATCCTAACCCTGCTCTCCACCCAGGCCAAGATCCTGGAGCATGACAATGTGAACTATTTGAAGAAGATCCTTGGTGAACTGGGGATGGTGCTAGACCAGATTGAGGCTGAGCTAGAGAAGAGGAAACTGGAGTACCAAGGTAGGTGCTGGGCTGCGTTTATGGGGTGTTTTTCCACACGAGGCTGAGGTACACCACCAGGAACAGCTGATGGCTTTGCACCTGATGAACATCCTCCACGGGGCAACCACCGGTGGGGCTGGGGCTGGCACTGGGCTCTCCTGGTTTGGGGTGCACTGATGTCATTGCAGCCGTGGTCTTGCTAACCTCCAGCAAACCATCCCTGCTCCAGGGAACCCCCGCACCCCTTGCCACATGGGACAGCAGGACCCCCATCCTCACGGCTGCTCTGAGGGAGCTCTAAAGTCATTGCAGGGTGGTGGCAGGTCCCCTCCGCCCCAGTGAGGGGCTGCCAGTAACTGATGCTCTGGCTGGTTCAGGAAGGAGTGGGCTGGCCCTGGGCTTTTGCACCATGAGGAACATGGAGCCGAAAGCGCAGGGCTGGGAATGTGTCCTGCAGCCAAGCCCCCTCCGGCCACAGGGCTGTGGCACATCCCAGTGGAGCATGGGCAGGGAAACCCAACAGGAATTTGAGGGGCCCTGAAGGGCTGGGAGCTTTACAGGGCCTGCGTCAAATGCCAGCGGGTGGGAGAGTGCGACACCAGCCATCCCAGACATCAAATACATGCTGCTGGGTGCCTGCTGAGAGCCACCCCGGTGCGCTGGCAGACAGGGATGCATGGGCACAGCTGGGCATTGCTTGTCCTGCCATCACCCCAGGACGATGCCATCATCTTCCTGTCCCTGCTGCTGGCAGGGCTCAAAACGCCAGCCCTGGGAGGGCTGGCAGCTGCCAGCACCACGGTGCCAGGTCCAGAGCAGAGCCCAGACGCGGTTGATCAGAGGATGGCCCCACAGCTGCCCCTGCTCTCAGGGCCAGCCTTGGCCATGGGGAGCCATGCGTCACACTCGGAGCCACACCAAAGGGCCCTTGGAGGTGCCAAGGTCGGGCCCTGCAAGGCAGCGGGTTGGGGGTTTGCTGAGAGCCGTGATGCATTCATAGCGGCACCCTGCATTGTCCTAATTGCCTCCAACGAACACCCTCATTAACTGATCCGAGAGCTAGGATAGCTCAGCAGAATTCAGGCTAATGAGGTGCCCTCAGAGGATGTCCCAGGTGCTGGAGCAGAGGGGTGGTGGCTGCTGCTGCCAGCACCCGGGCGCTCCGCTGCCTTTGGTCCTTGTGTGTTGCCCCTGCCCTTTGCTCTGGGCCCCCCCAAACTCCCCCCACCATGCCCACAGCCAGGTCAGGATCTCAGCAGTGG